ATCCATCCATCCAGCCATCCATCCACTCAATATGCCCCTTCACGTCTCTCGATTGTTCCTGCTTGCTTCAGAATGCGCAAGCACTGAGGCCGCGCTCATGTTTACTCCGGATACCTCCTGAACATTTCGAAAGCCCAGCACTGAGTGCTCGGTGAGACGGACTTGTGATCCGCGCTGTGAACATGGCCGCTGGCCTGCTTCCGAGATAGAAAGAGAGCGCCTGAACTTCAAGCACAGCGCTCGGCAAACATCTGCAGACTTTCTGGTGTGGTGAGAGTTGGAGCAAGGCAGGAGCAGTTCATCTGGGAGGCACGACACGTGCACTCGTAGATTCTTCTGCGTTGGCCAACCCTGGAAGCTCGAGATGGGAAGCTTGCAGGACTTGGTCTTCAATTTAGACTGTCACGACGTGGTGAGGAGCAACCGCTTCGCACGCACCTCGAAGCCAAAAAAACAATCTGCGACAGAAGCATGGGGCCGAGTCGAGGCCATGGTGAAAGTTCCCTTCAGCAGCGGTGGCTGCTCGGCGCAACTTGCTCGCAGCGACAAGGCCACCTACGTCCGGGTCGGGCGCCCGACAGTCTGGTGTAGAGCCTGCAGCCTGGGCATGCTTGAGCCCAGCTCTCGGTCATGCTGCATGCAGAAGACTCTCAAAGCTGAAAGGGTTCTACACGAGGTAGACAGCTTACGAAGACATTTCTGCCCTGACTAACTTACGCACACCCCTCTTGCCTCTTGCCGACAAGCACAATCATTTGGCATTGCTCGCCAGCCGAACACCCGCCATGGCGCCTCCACCTTCACAGACGGAGTCCAAGTTGGATGCCGATGCTTTTCCACCATTCCGCGAGCTGCTTCAAGCATGCGAGGCCGAAGCACAAGAATTCCCGACACTGTAAGCAAGTAGAGCAACTGAGCAAAGCAGGGGATGGATTTACGAGTCGCAGATACCGGCACGTGATTATTGGTAGTAATTAGTAGTCGTAGTTTAGTAAGGACCCCAGGCTTCTGGGCTCAGACCCTTCTAGATAGCTATGTTTCGTGTTAAAGCTTTGGCGCTTGGAGCCATCATGTTTCCACATGAAGCCAGGCCGGGAACAACTCTTCCGTCTTGGTATCCCCAAAGCCCAAATCTTGTCCACCATTGGGGTCTAAAGGGCCAGCTGGGCTCCAGCCTTACAGAATTATGGTCTGGCCTCCCTGCATAAGCGGTTGAGTAAGGAACCTCAGGCCAATCCAGTCATCCAAAATGCCTTGGGTTGTTTGGGAAGCGCTGTTTCCACCAAAAATTGGTCCGGGAAACACTGTTCTTTATAGGGCCCCCCCCCAAGGGGTCTCAAGAACACTTTTACTTTGCACTATAGGGGCTCCCAGAAACCAACCCCTTACATTGCATTATTAAACATTCCCGAGCATGCTCAGAGCACACACGTATACTGTACGTAAAGGGGGGAAACCATCTATGTTAACGTTTGGCCGTTCAAGACAACTTGACATTTGACACCCCCTAGATATACTACACTGTTACTACGCAACACGAGCCCGCGCACACCCAACTCCCTGTGCAGGACTACGCCAACCTCAGCGGATGCCGGTTCCAAGCTTACGCTTTCGATGGCTCGCGCCACGGGTGCACAGTAAAGTTGATGTACAAAACTACAGCTGTTCGATACGTGAGCCACCCGGTGTTGCCCACACACACACAAACAAACAAACACACACACACACACACACCTACCTCTGTTTCTTTGATTAACTGGCCCAGCCTCGGGTTCTCACATATACTTGTGTATACACATACTCTGTATGCGTGTAGGTATTGGTAAGTGTATACATATAACAATATGTATATGTATATGTGCGCTTGTCGTGGAATATATATATATATACCAATATGTATATATGTGCTTTTGTACGGAGAGAGATATATATATATATATATATATGTGTATATATATATACACACACACACACATATATATATATATATATAAAACACATACACAGTCACGTGTGTGCCACACGCTGTCGGAAAACATACCTTTGTGTGTGTCCGTACATCTGAGAGCGCAGATTCGTGCTATTGAGTATGATCAGGGTTGAGAGCTTAGGCTGCAGGCGTTCCTCACATAATGACAGCTTCAAAAACCGCAGCCGATCTTCATGAAGTTGGTGGGCGTGGAAGAAAGTCAGGATAGTGTGTGTTGTTCACAAGCAGTTCACAACTGTTTCAGTCACGTCACTTGCGTCATTTTTTGCGGTCCGTCATGTCATCTATGCTCAAGACTGCCGTCAACGAAGTGATGCTGATGAAGCGGCCGAAACCCTAATGCGGTATATAGGATCGAAAGTAGAAACCAAAAGCAACCGGCTTTTGCGACACTAGCCAGTGCCAGTCGCACCTGCAGACTGTTGGATCCTCGCCTATCACAACCCCAGTGCTTAGGAATATGGCTGGCAGAGTGGCCGACGCCAAGCTCCCGGAGTGGAAGGCCACATGTTGAGCCGTTCCGGATACCGGTATCGGTGTTCGTCTAGTTGAGGGGAAGGTTTTAGGGTTGGGTGATGGGGGGTTGTATGGGCCTGAGCTCATCATACCACGAGTAATGGCTCAAGCATTCCAGACTGCCACGTGTGTTCCTGCTTGCGGGTTTGCTCTCAACGCCTCTTTGCTTCAGGACGCGGTCCAGCAAGCATCTTTGAAGGTCCGGGAGTTCACAAAGCGGCTACAAGCCCAAGAGGCAAGGCCATGAGAGAAATCGAACACTAGCGCATGCCTAAATGAGCACGGAACAGATCAATCACGTATAATCGCGTAATTTGGAGGGTACATGAATGGATTACAGAGATAAGTCAGATAACTCTATCTCTTTCTTTATGCACCTATCTACCTATCATCTGTGTGTCTGTCCGTGTGCCTGTCTGTCTGTCTGTCTGCCTTCCTCTCTGCATCTACGTAGCGGCCAATCCACGAATCGTATGCTGGAGAACAGCAGGCGTCTTTGCTGGAGTGCATCGACGTTGCCTACCGCTTGGTCCTGGCAGAGGGCGTCCGCTCCGGAATCATCGCAACTTGCCAGGAGCTGTCGCTGTGGCCTCCACCTCCGAATCCACAAGTGGAAGCCGACGATTCCTGGCTGTTTGTCATTTGTGAGAGATAGAGAGGAGCTCATCCGTCGAGACCTTACAGTGGACAAATGGGCACAAGTTGATCTGCCCCGATGTTTTCCCAGGACTGCTGTTTCCAGGATACGTCTGCCCCGCTGCCGGTTATCGCGCAGAGGGCCTTCAACGACGAGAAGCGACGTGACAGCCACGAAAGTTTCCGATTGCTGTACAAGAAGGCTACTTACCACTTGCAGCAAGGGTTCCTGCCAACAGTCTTTTCACTGTGGGCTTTGAGACATTTTTGTGGACCACGCCCTGCCTGAAAAGGCTACGACGGCCTCTTTTCTAGTGGACTTCGCCTCGGAGGCAGGTGGCCCAAGCAAGTTCCGTGTGTCCGCGGCCGAGTGCCTTCCTGTGCAGCGCTGTGTCGGAGGCAGGGCAAGCGCTCCCAGACCTGAAGCATTATCGAACGATGCTGGACGAGTTCATGCAGCGTGTGGAGGAGTGGACAGCACATAGCAGCCGTCACCTTGCCTGGACATGGGGACAGGGAGTGGGTCTCTTTTGCAGCCTTGTTTGGACAGGCTTTTTAAGTATTTTTGTGCATACGGGCCGAGTGAGTGAACTTGAAGCTAGGGGCCCTGCCTCCCACCAAGTTTCCATTCTTCAAGTCTGCATCGCCGTCATTCACGAAACCAGGACGTGAGATTCACCACTACAGCCATTCTTGATGTGTCAGCAGCTATCACTTGTCGGCATCACGTCAGTGTTGGAGGGCTCGACGCAAATCCAGCTTGTTATTTTCATTGAGCAAGAAGGTTGAGCCATCTGTGTGTCTGACCTTTCTGGCGATGTTGGCGGCCAAATCCATTTCGCTGTTGGTCGGTTGCGGAGATTCTGAATCAAGCATCGAAATGATCTACTCATTCCATTGGAGGTGCCGCTTCGGGTCGTCGTAGGCCGGCAGGCTCGTGAAGCCCCACCCTGGCAGCAATTGCTTGAGCCGAACCAATCGCAGCATCAAGACACGGTACGTCCAGCTTTCTGCAGAAACCATGAAACGTGATTTGCCCGGACAAAGAGTGATGATCGTTGCCCTGAAGGGTGCTAAGATAACATGATATGTCTCCTATTTTTTCTCGGCATCTCCCCGAAGCGTGTGCACCACCTTTGAGCCAAGGCTTTCATCTCTGCCCACTCTCAAGGGCTGGGAACGCTTTGGTCATCGGGCTCAGCCAGGGTGGGATGGCTGCCGAAACGGCGAAGGAGCTTGTGGCACGCCGTTGGTCCAAGAACTGGGAAACAAACGTCGGCACGGAGACTCGGCTGCAGCAGACAGGCATATACAGGCATGTTGGAAGCCGATGTTGCGCCAGGGTGCAGTGTTGTGGTGCTTAGGCTGTGAATGTCGCTGCAGCTGCCCTCGCGGTTGGTGCAAGCGTGGCGGCCTTGCGCCGGGCGTCACGGCCGAGGTAGAAAGAGGTGGAACTCCTTGGCGCGGCAAAGTCGCAGTTGGCACAGATCGTGGCGCTCAGCATACAGACGGCCTAAGTGAGCAAGCCAGCGAACAATCTCAGTCGTTGTACAGAAATTTGCCATTCGGCAACCACGGGCCAATTTCGATGGTCATGGCCTGCCCATCATGGCTTTAAGGCAACATCTCGATGCCGCACCCCTTCTTCTTACTACTCCGTTGCTTCCCAATGAAGTAGATGGGCCCGGAACGTACACCAAGCTGCCTTTGGGTAGGCCACGCAGCAGCCTTCAGGATGAAGTGCCTTTTCAGCAGGTTATTGTAGGGTGGCATTCCTTCCGGGACGTTCCCGCCGGGCTCCAAGACTTCCACAGGCCAGTGCGAATGCAAACTCCAAGAATTCTAGTTGGGGCGTAGGAGAAAAGAGTAGGAGCAAGAGTCAGTGGGGCCAGTGGGGTAGCAGCACTTGAGGCGAAGGGGGGGGGGGTGGTAGGCTGGCGGGAGCTCACTGAACTTGATCCTGAATGGCTACACCACTTGCATCGAAGCTCAGCTTGCCTTCAGGGTACTGAGGGCAGGACCGAACAGGAGGAAAAGAAGGCAGGCCGTTGGGAAGCCGCCTGTAGAGACTGGTCGCGGAAACAAAGACGGAGAATTGAGGCGGGCTATCTTGGCAAACTGTCCGGGGAGGAGATCGTGGCGGAGACTCTTGGCCAGGCGAATTTCGGTTGTAAGCTTCTGTTGCAGAATGTTGCAGATGATTATGGTGCTTGCAGTGCAAGTCTGCGGTTAGGTGCCCGAGCAGACAGGCCTGGTTAATTTGCCTTGGCAGATCCTGGCAGCTTGGTCTTTTGCCCTGAGCTCCGAGGGAAAGGCAAGCGCGGCAGGAAGAAGGTCGTGCCGGGTCTCAGCCGGCACTAAACGCTAGAATCACTAGAGTCACTATAGAGAGGCTGCCAAAGGCTGCTGGGAGTAGGTTCGGATCACTGCCGAGGCGAAGGGACCCCCCGAGGCTCAGGAGCCAGAAAGGCCGGTGCCTTCGGACCCCTTCTTCCTGGAGGAGGACTGAGCCAGGGTTCCCGTAGCAGCTGTGCTGCTTTGCTGTGCTGACAGGATCCCGCCTTGAAGCCCGAAGGCGCCAAGTGTGTGGGTCTTGCAGTCTTGCTTTCACCGCAAGCCGCAGCAAGCCCGCAATTTTGAATGCTCTGTGCGCCCCACGGTGCACCTACTGTCAGCAGACTGAACGAGGAACACGCAGACTTTCGAATGAGGCCAAGCAACACAGCATCCTATTTCCATCCCCCGTCGACCTCGAAGTCGAACGGGACCCTTCCTCAGTCGGAAGGAAAAAGCACGCGCAGGATGCCAATGATCCTGTGTTCCGGCGACTTCCGCTCGAGGTCGAACCGGACGACCGGGATTTCTGTTATTCGTGGCTCTTATTTGTTTTTCCTAGTTGTCGTACTGTCTAGTATGACTTGTTGTCAGAAGTAAGTCTCATTGTCCTGCTTTTCGCTCTTCTAGTTCTACTTCCGTTATCTTTGGAAGACAGTGGCAGTTGCCGCCCGGACGGAAACAGCAAAGTCGGTGAGGAACGGCTCAGAGGAGAACAAGTGACGCTTCGCACTGTGTCGCAGCACGGTTCCGAAGCCACAGAAAAGATTGGACATCCCCCATCAACCCCAGAAAGACCAAGCAAATTCAAGAGCAGCTGGACCACCTGAGTATGCCCTGGACCCTCCATGCCTAACACTTTTCCCTTTCTGCCCAGTCTTTGCAGTCTTTGCAGGTGCTGTCGTGGATGACTCGGGATGCCTAGTGAGCCTTGGCCTGCAGAAGGCATAAGGCGGTCAAGGTCTCCAGGAAGGCCAGAAGCAAAGCGAAAGCTTGAGTTCTTCCCAAGTCGAGACCCGAGGAACTCCTACTACAAGCGGTTTATTCAGGCTTTCAAAGATGCCGAGAAGGCCTGCAGAGGGTGAGCAGAGGCCTTCCAGTGCGGACTTCGACTGCCGAAGACAGGCCAGAGCAGATGTTGCAGCGCCGGAGTCCTAGATGGACTGTTCAACGACGCACAAAGTAAGAGATTGAGCATGATCCGATCCGAGTTTCCGCCAGGCCAACGGGAATCAAGCGACCCGGAGTGCCTCAGCTGGTTTTCCCGACTGTTCAGTAACGGCTGCGATCACAACGGCTGCAGAGAGCCATGACTGAGAGACGAAAGAGTGCAGCCTGAGGGACATAAGGGAGGCAAGCTTGCTTTCAGTTTTTAGCTGCTCTGTCGTTGGTCGAACGTTTCCCTGTCACAGGTGCGGCGTGGGGAGGAGATTCCTGCGGCTGTGATGGCCGGAAAGCACGTTTGGGTTGAAGATGTCTCTCTGCCGTTTGTGACGTGCGCCGGACTAAAACCTGTAGCCCGTTTTCAACAATGGCACTCTGATGTCGTGTGGCAGTTTTGGGATGATTCGCTGAGACCGAACGCGAATGTTCAGAGAGGCACGACCTGCACTGGTCGCAAGATTGCCATGAAGCTTGCGGTGTCTTGAAATGTTGGGATGGTTGTGGTTGTGGCTGTTGTTGTTATTGTCCATTGTGTTACTAGTTGTTGTTATTATTAATACGCATGACTCCAAATATTAACAATGTTGTTGTTGGTGGTGGTAACTTGCTACCATGCTGATGATTACGATGGTGCTCTGACTGAATTTCAGGATTAAGGGGTTATTCTCTTTGTTGTGGCTCTCGTGACTACCTTCAGACTAAACATTTCTTGGGGCCACTGGCCTGACACGATTGAAGTTCAGGGCTGCACCGGATGAGTTGAAGTTTTGGCTCGGAATCGGAACCGCCAGGGCTGCGTAGGCGGGCTCGGTAGCAAATGGGGCGATTGCGCTGGGTGGCTCCGGCGCTGTGGCCGACCTTGGCAGCTGCTGCTTCTGTTGTTGGTTCTGGAACCATATCGTCGGCGGCTCAGACAGACTGCGCCTTTCCCGGTACAAACTTTGGCAGATCTAGGACTTCTTGCAATTGAAGGACTGCCGAGTTCTATGGCTTGACGTCGCCGAACTCAGAAGGCGCGGCTGTGTTCTGCTGCCGAGCAGGGAGGAACCTCTCAGTGAGTGGGAATACCGTCAGTAGTTTATCACTGCGCAGGTGCCGAGTTCAAGTTTGAAGAGCTCAAGGGTGCGCGGGCTATCCTCATCACCAACGTGGCAAGCGAGTGAGGAGCAACTGCAGCCAACTATGCTGACTTCAAGAAAATCCAGAAAGACATGCAGGCCTGTAGCCGGTAGCCTTACGGACATGAGTCATCAAGTCCTCGCATCCCGATGCATTGATGTTTTTCGAACAGCTTCGGGTCTGTGGGCTCTGTTGCAGCCGCCTCGACGGTGGCACGCCTTCACACTTGTGAGTTTTCTTCTGAGCTGTTGTGCCTGGCAGCTGAGTCTGATCCAGCCTTTTCTGCGCTTATGGAGTAGTCCAGTATAGTCCAGTCACTACTGTTCTGCAAGTTTTTTGCACAGGGCGTCCACGTCGTGGCCTTTCCGTGCAGCTCGGTCCAAAAGAGCCCGCATCCTCTCTCGCGACATGGCGGAAGCCCGAGCCGAAGCTTGTCATGCTGATCACACCCGAGATTGATTCGGCCGCCTGCACCATAAGTCCCTCAAGGCACCTAGGCAGCACTGATCCTGCGAAGCCCACCAAGGCAATCAGTTTGGCGAGCAGGAGCCGGGCAGCAACGCCGACATCCGAAAGTTTGCGGAGGCCGGGCAGGGCCATGGGCGAAGGGATGCACTAGACTTGTACGTTAGATTCACGCACGCACACCTAATTAACTATGCCCTACGTGCATGCATGCATGCATGCATACAAAAAGACGGACAGACAGACGGACGGTGTGCATGACTGTGTGTTCCCAGGCGCACACGCGGACACGGACACAAACATTCATAACACAGTTTTCGCAAACCGCTAAGACGCTTGCCTGCACAGTGGCCTGCTAGTAGCATGGTTCGACCGCTCGCTCCAGCCATGGAAACATACTTAAACCTCTCTCTCTCTCTACTTTGCCACGTCTTCATGTCGGACCTAGCAAAATGCCCAGGACCGGGGCCTGAAAGTGAATGCTCCCGGCTCCCAGTTCCACCTCTTGGCCAAGGCAGGGCGTCCTGTAGGCCTCTCGGAATATGTGCGAGTTTAAGAGCCCTAAACGATGCTGATCCCTAATTTGTTGGCATTGACTTGTACCGCAGGCCTCAGACCTATCGAGGCTGTGTGTGTGTGTGTGCTCCGTTGTGGAAAGTCCAACCTACACACCACCAAAGGGGTTGCATGCTGAGGGGCTTTGACGAGGTGCCCTTTCTCAAGCCTAAACTTACACCCAGCACCGAGCTCCATGCAAGGAACTCGAGGGAGGTGAGCCACTGTTGCGACCGTCGACCGCCCTGAGGCAGATATCAATGGACCCGAAAAGTCTGCGGCATGGAGCAAGCTACTGGAAGTGACAAGTTCCAGTCACAAGGCACCGGGCTTTAGTGAATTGAGTAGTTGCCTGCTTGTCTCTTTAAGATAGACGCGACATTCACACAGCTTCAGAGACATAGAAGCTCTGCTGCTTCAGACAAGGCGACACGATGGAACTTTGCGACAAAGTTCGTCGTGAGATGCGCCGAAGATGCGGGTAAGTGCCATGGCCCCAGCCGATACCGGACGTCTTTTGAATTATGTTATGCATCTCGTCAGATGGTAACCAAGGCTCTGCCGTCCGTGTGGACGGCTTCGGTGCCATGGAGACTTTACGACAGCGAGCTCCGGAACTGTGGCCATCTCAGATTCTGTGTATGTTGGAGTGGCATGTGACATCGAGCTTCCAACTGTCAGGTTCCCAAAGCAAGGGGAGCTGTAGCTTGCAGCTGTGCGGCCAATTGTTGTGTACAGAGTCTCAAACCAAATTCAAAGGGCGTAAAGCGCGACAACATTGAGGCAACCGCGGTTAAGGGATAAAGCAGCAGTCGACCATTGGTTCTTGCAGCAGCATCTCAACTGCCAGCTTTGTGGACTGATGGAGGAATGAAGAGAGGGCTAGCAATCCTTTCCTGTTGCTGTTCATGACTGGTGACCAAAATTGCTAGAAATCTTGGCCTTCTCAAGCCTAGTTTCGCCCAGCGGTAAGGGTTGGGGGATTCTTAGATTTGCACGGGCAGGCAACCCTTTCTGAGATCTCCGTCAGTCTTTCGGCTGCGCTGTCGCTGCAATTAATGAGTCAGTTATAAAATTGGCAAAGTGTATGCAATGCTAGCATGGTTGCATGTCGCATTCGTGTTTCACTCCCTGCAGCGACCCGCGCTGCATCGCAGAGACCAGTCATCGTTTGAAACAGCCCTCGGGCACGTGCAGCCAAGCTACCTGCCTTTCTGCATAACGTGCAGGTGCGACACACCTTCAAGACGGGCAGCAATGGGGCGCTGGTGTCTTGGCTGAAGAAGGCGACAGAAAAAGCTTCAAGGTTTCGGCTCTATCAAGATTGCGTGCAAACCCCTTTCGATTTTCGAATTGTGAAGTTATTTGATGCCTCTTCGCCTCAACGCTCCTCTCATTCTGTTTGCATACTCTGGGAATTGCAAGCACGACGTGTTTGCGCTTTTGCACTTTTGACTTATATTGCGGCCTGTGTCGACGTTGGGGGCCGAGGCTACATCGCAAAGCCTTTTGGCCCAGTTCTGTCCTGAGCAAAGGCATCAGTCATTGCAATGTTCGGGCTATGAAGGCTTTCGTGAGGCTGAGGCATACGAAATTGATGCGGGTGCATGGGGTTGTTAGGTGTCCCCAGCCCACAGGACCGAACCTTCATCTTGCCGACGGTACCTCTTCGAACCCTCCGGAATGCCGAGGTGAAAAAGAGTAAGTGGCCGGGGGCTTCTTCAGATGGCATGCAGATGTAATTCGCATGGGGAGCTGCAGAGTCTGCGTCGAATGTGGGGTTTGGGTTTGTATGGGCAGCTGGCAGGATTGTCTACACCTCAGCGCATTTGCAGCTCAGGTTCAACGTGAAGACCTGGGGTTGCTGGAGGATGGCCTTCGTCTTGGCAAGGCTACAGTACCAGGCCAGGTCGGAAGAGTGGGTGGTCACTGAGGCGCAACTGTATAACTGTGAACGTAGTATCATACAATAATAATATAGTGGTTGGTGCCGAAAATGCTGCTAACTTGGTCCCGAAACCCCGAAAGCCCCAAAGTCTGAAGTGTTAGGGTCTTGTACTCGCTTGTGGTTCTACTTCTCTGCAGACCTCGTACCACATGCCAGCCCTGTTGTGCAGGTCTGGCATCTGAAGCACCCGGATGTGCCTGAACCAAAGGGCCGTGGCAAAGGCCCGTCGAGAGTACATTCTCTTTGATGAATCCTAACGTCTGCAATGCAAGCAAGGGTCCAAACTTCGTGAAACCCAGAGCCTGACCTGCCGCCAGACGTGTTCCCAAATTCCGGAATCGTTCTGCCACCGAAGTGTGAACTGCGAGGAAGGACATCTGATGCGCCGAAAGAAAGCAAAAGCTCGAAGAAATCGTCTCTGGAGGCCGCTGCATGAGAAAAAACCAGAGAAAAAGACGTCTGGCCACATGCGAAGCCAGCATGTTTCCCTCAGAAAGATCAGGGATGCTTCTTTCTGGCTCGTCTTCAGGACAAACCAGCTTGACAGAACTTCGATGTGCGCAGGCAAAGTCATCTGCAGCTGGAAAGGAAAATCAGGATCCAGGCCCGGAGATGCAAGGATGTGTGATAGCGGATCAAGGGTAAGGGGAAGTTTCATGACATCAGTAATGTGGGGCATTGACTTATACCGGGCCCCCCCATCCCCCTGCTTCACCCCCCACCCCCCCGCCACCCCCCTACGACGGTGGGATGAATGTAGACAGGGGTGCAGGGATGGAAGCAACATTCGCCGTATTGGCATTGTTGGTCGCAGTAAGTTGCAGTACACAGCAGTCGTCATGCACCAAGAAACGCGTGGTATACTCCAATGATCACGACCCCAGGGCTCGCTCTCTGTCTCCCTCTCTTCTCTCTCTCCCTCTCTCTCCCTCTCTCTCTCTCTCTCTCTCGCTCTCTCTCTGTATATATATATATATATATTTTTTTTTTCTGTACACGGACAATTAATCGGCTAGTTCTTTGGTCTCTAAAGTTGATCTTTTGGATTGCCGACTGCATTTTGTAGTTTTAGGTTAAGTTGATGTGGAGACAGGGTGTTGTGCTGAATCGACGTTGGCAGCAAATGACCAGTGGTTCGAGTCCTTGGTCAACGCAAAAGACCCAGAATCGCCAACCCAAAGCCCGGCAACGTGTGCGCGCGCGCCAAATTGCTTGGAGAAGCAGAGCCAACAGACTTTGCGTCGAAGCAGCACTGCGCAGCGGGAAGTCATGCTGCTTGCGGCAGTGAGGCACACACAGGAGTAGAACCGAAGGATTCTCTGCTTCTTGTAGTCTTTTCGAAACCGCTGAACCCGAAATCAGCGGTAACAGAACTAAAGAGTACAGTTCTGCCAGAATTCCCAACCGCCGATCGAAACGGCCAGTTAAATTGTGAAAAAAGGAGCCACAAAGAAGCCGGGTCGGCCGAAGAGGACCAAGGAGCAGAGGCCTCAGCCATTGGCGACTGTGGATTATGAAACGGGTTCCTTGGATACACCGAAGACGAAGACCAAGGGAGCAGCAGGACCCGTCAACGCTGCACAAATTCTTCGTGCCGTGCTCAGTCTGCCTCAGTTTTCTTAGAAAGCCTTCTTGTGAATACAAAGCGCAATGCTTTGCTGTTTGGGCCGCAACATGCCGCAACGGCTGCGCCTTCGACTTCGATGGCCGTTCACATACAGGGTGCTTGCGTAGGAACCGTGTTGAGGCACGCCTGCCCGCATTATTCAGGCTGCGAGCACCCACGCACGCACGTCGTGGCACGGGCACACATCCACGCCCACAAGCACACGCGCACGTGCACCTATTCGTGTAACCATGGGCCGAGTGTGCTCAGGCTGCGAAGTTGTGACCTCCACACAAATGTCTGTGCCAACTTTCGTGAGACCCGCTGGCGATAAAACGTGTCAACGATTTGGCAAGGAATGGTGGCAATGCCAAAGATGGCCGGACAAAACCTACTGCACTCTCATGGTGCAGTGAGCGCATTGTGTCGATGATCATGTCAAGACTACAATGAGTTGACGTTAGACATCCAAAAACCATCAAAGAAGCACTTCCGATGACGAATAACAAACACATCTGTTTTGACAGTTTTGGCTTCCGATTTGGCTATGTACGTTTACATGATGGTGAATTGATCAGTTCTCCGATTCGTGGATCGAACTCGAGCCGAAGCCGAGGCGGCGCAGTCCGACAAGGCTGCAGCTCCCGAAGAGGCCAAGGCCAGCCAACCAAAGGATCGTGGCAAATCGCTGGGATAGATATGAAAGCCCTGTCAAGGTGGAGAGCCAAGGGAAGAAGTCCCGAGGGCAGTCCCGAGCCTAATTTCCAGCTGCATCTGGCTCTGCAGATGTTCATCCTGTTAAACTGCTGAGGAAGGACTTGCTGGCTTGGATGGGTATCCGTCAGACGCTCAATCTCCTAGTGGACGCCAGATGGCCATGATGTAGCCGAACGCCGCACAATACTGAGCTGCAGCTTCATTGTCGCAACGGATGCTGATGAGAACGTCAGGACAAGGTGGAGAATGATGGGCACGATGCAGATGATGATAGTGACGATCATGGTGATGGCGACGGTGATGAGTGTGAGGATGAACATGAGTATAATTTGACACAGGTCTTCGATATTATCTTGAACAATACTGTCTAAACCAGCAGATCCATCAGGCATTCGTTGTGGCGACAGCAGCTGTAGGCGGTGGATGGTGATGAAAGATGCCGGCTTGATGAATCGCTGCGGGTGAAGTGTAGTGGTTTTGTTTGGGTGCGGAGGTTTCACCCTAGCAGTTCGAGCTACGTGTTTGCACGCGAACCAGCCTCGTGCCCGCAACTCCAACAGGTGCATACTAGAAAGAGTGAGCTAAGTTCGTCTAGTCAGTACTAGTCTCCTTCTATTTTGAGGTGTTGTCCGTTAGTTACAAGGCGAGTAGGAACTGTGCTGCTCTCGGCAAATCGACCACATGGTTGTAGCCCCCACCTGAGGTCAGAGCGACTCTCCTCCCGCGAAGCGGGTGCGAGTTGATGCAGCTCAGAGGCAGACGGCAGAGTACATGATTGCATATGATTGCGAATTGCTTTTGGGGATGAGAGGCTGTTGAACGCAGAGGGGTCAAGGGAGGGTGTCGCGAGGGCAAGTCCTCTGTGGTTTCAGGATCGAAGTGTATAGATCTGTTGGGCCAGTGGGCCGTTACGCAGAAGAGGTGTTGGCCTTGTTGGGTCTGTTGTTGTGGTTCCTTTCCTTTCAGCAAAGCAACAGGTGTCGGCTTCAGGGCTGGGATGCTTGCGGTGGATCATAGGCATGCCACCACGGGAATGTCCCCGCTCAAAGCCGCTGACTTTTGAGAAGCAGGTAGCCACAAAAGGATTTTCCTGCAAAGCAACCTACGGGTTGGCTTCACTGAGAGATGGCTTGGCCTCATCGTCAAGGCCGAGTTATGATGCTTCTGGCTACACTGTCGGTGGTCTGGGCAGATCCCGAGCAGCAGGCACTGAACCTGGATGCATCTTGGAGGCAAGGGTGGGTGCGCTGGAGTTGCAGCACTTGCGTTGCACTGGCCTGTCACATCCCGTACGTGACTTCACCAAGGATGCCTGTAACAGCGACGAGTCGGAAGGCCCGGTCACCTGCACTTTTAGATATCCATGGCCACCGGCGAACACCCTTGCAAGTTAGGCTCCATCTTCTTGATCAAGGAAGGAAGTTATAAGTTATATTCTTATTATTCATTATGGTGGGCTGAATTTGTGCTTGACGACGGCCTTGTTATAAGTGACCGTCTTGAAAACCCACTGGCTGCTAGGCAGCTGCGACCTCACCCTGACGCAGCATCTTGACTCAAATTGCAGTGTGACTTCCATGCCCCTTACTTTGGCAGCCACGGCCAGCCAGAAAAGAGCAAGGTTTTGATCCAAACCACCTATACCCCAAGCCAGACTCGAGGATCGCATCTGGAAATACACACGGTTCACGGTTCACTTCAGTTGTAGACACCCTGCGCGCCTGGTCCGAGCACAATCACAGGTGACCGGGGAGTTCTTTCTCTTTTGCGGAAGTTTACAGTTTACTTATCGATCCGCCTAGGACAGGGACGGATAGCCTATCTAGCACATGCAGCAACTACTGTAGGCATGTGTGACAGTTTCACAGTCGCATGGAAAAGAAAGGAGAAACAGACATACCACCAACACCCCAAAGACACTTGTGCTGAATTGAGGCTGCGAGGATTACCCAGGAGAGCCGGCGAAGACAATAGCTCCGAGGCAGTTGCGCCCATTTGAGCTGTCGTGCTGGTTTCTCCGTGCTAGTCAGTCTTGCTGTTTGTTCCGTTGCCGTCATCGTTGTCGAAGGCGTGTCGAGATCAACAACGGCCTGAGGAACAGAGTGTTTCCTGGTTTCCGTACCCAGTGCAAAGCTGCGCTTCACAAACGAATTAAGCATGAACCGTACCCATGTCCTTTTTTGTTCCTTCACGACTGATGTTGATGCATGGCGCTTTTCCCACCTTGCGAACTCGGTCAAGGACATTGTAGAATCCCGGCCACTCGCTCGTCCAGATTCTCCCACTGCATTCGTTCGAAAGTCCAGACTGACCCCCCAAACACGAGGTGCCAACGTGTAACAACATACAAGGAAAGAGGGGAATCGTGACGATGGCTAGGCTAGACTGCAACTGTCGCGATCCAGATCATCATCTTGATACCATGGAATCTGGAAACTTTGGAATTTACCATGCTGCATATCACTCGGCTTTCATCGTTGCCACGACATCGCCACTGTAGATATGCTCATCAGTCTACCGATTTCAGCTCGCTATCGTAGTGAACCATGCAAGTTTGTGAGATCAAAGTACCCTTAATGGCACGATGCCACATAGAAATCTAATACTCCATATGAAAAGACTAAAGTTTATTGTTACCAAAGATAAAGACTTCAGGACCTCCCCATTTACACCACCTCCCCCAGAAATGTGTCTCTTTTCCTGCTCCCTCGATGCAGGCCATGACTGAGGTGTCCTCAGGTGCTCCCGGAATGCTTTTGCCTTGCTCTCCGTTTGTTGGGGCCTGGCTGTTTCGGATCTCAGGGGATTTTGAAGGGCGCAGATTCTAGAACACATCCCTATCTTAGTCTATCTTTCGGGAGTTGGGGCCTGCGATTGTTTGACACAGCGAAAAGCCCACTTGCCCACAGCCAGGGCGGTCCCAGGTCTCCAGGCGATTGCGGCTTCATGGCAGCAGTCTGTTGGGCAATGGCAGTCACACCTGAAGGCTTACGATTACGAACCGGCCATCAAGAGTGCAGCAAGCTTTCCGACCTTCCGAGGATAGTGAACGGCTGCAACAGCCAGCCGCAGCTTGTCCGAATTCGTAAGAGTTCGTCGACATGGTTTGCTATCGCAGACTGGCAATAAGAACTACTGGTAGAGATTAGGGATCAGTGGCAGCATGCTTGTGCTTTCACGTTCCTGCTCTGCCTGCATGCTCACAGTGCTTCATTCAGGATGTGGATCGCCCACATAGCAGGGGCTTCGATGGGCCCTGACCCGCAGAATGCAGCTTGCATGCATCTAGAGGTTTATCTCGAGGATGTGTATGTTATGTAAGCAACGAGATGCAACGAGAAAGTAGGGTTCAGTGTAACGATCCCTGCCACTCTCCTGCACTTGCGGACATCATCCGAAATCCCGGCATTGCATCGTGTATCCTGTAAAGCTAGGGCTCGCGCATTCAAGCTCCGTGAAACTGCGAGGTCAGGATAAATCCTGGAAGCTTCTACGACTTCGAAACTCCTAGTCATCTCTCTGCGATGCGATACTGGCCGAAGAAACTTGCTGGCACCATCGCAGATTGCACACTGAGTTGTGTCGGCACACGAGACAGTGGATGTAGCTCCGAAGCATCGCTGGATGCCATGCGCAATGCTGCAATCCGAGAATGGGTTGCGATGAGTCTGGCCACAACTGCCACTCGCCTGCATGAAATCGCGGGAGAGACCCTGGGGCCGACCTCGGGGCCAGCATAAGCTTTCTCCTCGTCTCCAAGTCTTGGAAGTACCTGGAAGTCCTCTGTCTTGTCATCTCCTGTGCAGGAACCGCTCGACCCTGCATGGATTCTCCGAATGTAGGGCCAGCACAAATGCTTGAGGGCGGCGACAAGCAATTCCTTTGGGGTCGATTCCGAGGTAAGATTGGAAGCAGTGGTGGTCCGGGACAGAGCTGCCAGTGGAATCCGGCGACGGGCCAGGCAGAGAAACCCGTGACAGTAGCGTGCTGTGACCCACCATAACCTCATGAGGGGCACATCAGAGGTTCAGGATTCTTGCCGACTTGGCCATTGAATGCGATGTTTCTATACCTCGGCAGGTCCATTCACATTGCATGGTTTCTTGGTATGCGGGCCTCCTGTTGTTCAGCATTTCGAGTACAGCTCCAAGTTGATGAAGAACAACTGTTGTAGCGGTTTCAAGATCGCCTTAGCGCTAGCTGCCGCTAGCTGCTAGCCAGGAGGACTACAGCAGATGCCATCCGCCCGTGGACACCAAGTTCGAAGCGCCTCCTGGCTCGGGCACGGACGCTGAAGTGACGAACGCTCCGAGAGGGCACGGGGTAACCGGGTAGCCATGGCTTTTCGGAGGGTTTGATCGAAGCTGAGGAGCTACGGTGAGAACGGCGCACCTTGCAACCCCAAGACGCCGGGAGGTGTCGAAATGTCCCTTGTCTTGGTAAGGTCCAGGGCTTGCGAAGCAGGATTGTCCTTGTTGCATGGCCCATGTAGCTGGAATGAGGTATGGAATGAGGAACCAATACTAGGCGCCAGCAATGACAACGTCGCTGAAGCTATCATCAGCGACACTTAAAACTTATTGTCATCAATGGGAGTCAGCACCCCCGGAGATCGCCCTGAAGTGAAGAAATTCAACGTCGATTTCGGGTCCAAGGCTTTGCATACAGTGCACCTGAACAAGGGTTGGGGGTAGAAAGGCAGCCATTGACCCTATGTAATTTGTCTTTGGAATCGTTGTCCAGAGTTGCCGGAGCAAGAGTCCAACCCGGTGCCGGTTTCAAATCCAGTGTAGACCTCTGACTCGGGCTACAATTTCCTTCCCAGACTTCCCTTAGAGCTGCTTCTCGCCAGGAAGGGCTGTGACTACGTGGACCTCAGCTTGGTCGATGGATGGACGCTGCCTGTAAAGCTTGAGGCCAGCGGCGACTGTAGCCAGGCTGCAGATTCTCGCAGAACCCCATGTCTGTGCCTCTGCTTTCTCAGGGATTCGCTCGCCCCTTTTCAAACATGCAATGCGCTGGCCTGGCCGTTACTATCATCTGTATAATAGATCACGCCATATTTTCGAAGCTCCACGCAAGCAGGGTCAGCAGCCTCCCAAAGTACAGAACATCAACTGATCGCTGAGGCCAGACTTGCGGAGCTGCGAAATTGCAACCTTCATGCACATCACTAGCCACTAGCCATGTCCTTTCCCCAGGATCCCCGCCCAGTTCGTCGAGTCGAAATCCTTGTCAGCCGAAGCTTCCGAGGCCGAACAAACAAGGACGAGAAGGTAGAGGCAGGTGGACTGGGATGGGACTTCTTCTCTTGAACAGCTTCAGGAATGAGTGAATCAAGAAGTGCGAAGAATCCATTCCTGGATCCGAGGGTAACTATGATGTCGGGGTGCTTGAACAGCCTGGAGTGGAGAACCTGCATACTGGCTTGGCCATGCAGTTCTTGCCGTGACTACAGGGCTTCAATCATGCCAGAAAGGTTCTGGACTGCGCCGCCTTGTCGCTGGATGCCTGCCCCACTGCCGAGCACCTGACAGCAGCTGGTCGCCGGGCTGAACACTTGACCGCGATGTTACATTCTTCACTGGGGTCCCGACCCATTTACCCTGTGCCCCAGAGGGAATCCACAACGGCGCTTGTATGGAGACAGATGAGAGTTGAAATCTATGAACGAACCGGTACAGGAACACGCATGTACATCCCGGAAGTGTGGTGCTGCATTCGTGTTTACGCACAGAAGTGCTTGTTTACTTGTAGTGGTATTTGACGGCTCGTTCCCCTCACAGTTTAATGAGCGGTCAGGATGCGTTTGGTAATGCAGTTGCTTGCCAGACTGTTTCGAAGCCTTGTGTATCCTTACTGATGCAGGTAGACATATGTGAACCGACAGTTGTGTACGATAAATCGCTTCGTCGCAGAAGCCTCGGCCTGATTTTGGCAGGCGTCACTGCAGACCTTCGAGCGATCAACCCGGTCACCCATCAAGAGCCTGGGACATCATAGTAAGCGCTTGTTCTTGTGGGTTTCGTTTCTTGCGCTTTGCACTGCACCATCCCGCTGACACGAGTCAGCCTACTGAGTGCTTAGTTTGCTGCAGCATCTGCGTGGCAGCGGGCTGAAGGTGTCAGGCTGCTACAGCCCATGTGCCAAGCTCCTGGACACCAAGTGGAGCAACAAGGCGGGATAAGCAAGCGTCCTTTTGCCTCATATGTTTCTAATTGCTGTCAGAAAATGCATAAGAGCTGGATGCGTTTTTTGAACTTGGGTTCCTGTTAAGTCTGAACTTGTGGTCTACAGAAGCTGAACTGAAGGAGGCCCCTAGACAAAACCACGATGAAGCCGTGAACTTAGCGCCTCGCTGCATCTGCAGTCCCAGCTTGGCAGGAGCTTGCCCAGGGGCGGCAGCCAGAATCCGCTGAGGCCTTAAGAAAAGGATGGTTCTCCAAAGATAGCGGTCCGGTTTGGGGATATGACCAGGGTCGAAAGTCGCATGCATTTGCTATTCCTTTCTCCCGGAAATCTCCTGAACATGGCTCAATAGATTATTGGTTGACATTGGAGGGCTCGGTTTGTGCTCTGGAGCTGTTGGTAGAGTTGGAGTTTGGATCCAATGCCAGCTGAAAATTCCAGGGCCGACACCGCAGTGAAAAGCCAGCCTGAGAGGTCTCGCCTTACTGCTGCCCGACACCGCCGCAGACCCCAGAGTCGTGCCGGGCCGGGCCGAAACACAGCCGAAGTTTGGAATGCCTATGCTCCTTCGAGCAGTGGTCGAACGTAGTTTCGAAGGATTCCGAAAGGTGTCCCAGGGTATGCAAAGAGGGCGTGAGATGCCCAGAAGAAGAGAATGCCCTTAGGTGCCACTCGTGTGGAAATAGTGGGTTGGATTTGGCTGGAAGGAGTCTTTTCTCCTGTCATGCACTCATGTGTACTGGACGCAGACCAAGAGGCCCTTCCAAAGACCCCGCTCAGGGGGCTTGGCCTCGATTACACCATTCCGCCTGTCCACACAAGGATCACACACACCGACTTCCTGAAGACGGTGCATCAGAAGTGCCCCGGAGCCACCTGCCTCCCTTGGTTGGGGTTTTTTGTTGAGGACATGTAAGACCGGATCAGGTTCACAATTCGTCCATGCATCCATCTACCCCTCTCTCAGTCTGTTCATCCCTGTCCATCCATCCATCCATCCATCCATCCATCCATCCATCCATCCATCCATCCATGCATGGATACATTGGTGTGTAGATGTGTACACAAGTACATACAACCAAGAATACATATACATATAAGCGCACACACACACACAAGCATACACTACAGACACGCGTGCGTGCATACACATTGTCATGCAGATGCACCTGCGTGCACCCATAAACATGCATCCATACTCGTAGACATACACGTATGCATAGACTTAAACACACACACACACATATATATATATATATACACACACACATACACATATGTATGTATGGTACACACACAAATACTCTGGAGAGATACACACCTACGGAGACAGGCAGGCAGGCAGGCAGACCGACAGACAGACGGGCAGACAGACAGACAGACAGACAGGCATACATAATCACACACACACACCCACACGCACACACGGCCATGCATGAGGAGATTCACCATACCTTTACGGCTAGGCAGTATTGGAGAGTCGCACATCAAACCTTGCCTGACTTGGTCCAGCGCGAGTGCCACAAAAAAACGTCTGGTTCTTGCACATACCGACAAGACGTTCAAAATCAGCCAGCACTGAACAGATCATGTCAGCCATGTTGGCTAAGCACTGTTGTTGCGACCTACCACTGCATCCCCGCAAATCCCAAAATCCACAACTGGAAAGCACCCCGTCTGGACCCTGAGATATTTCGATTTGAGTGGCCAAGTTGCGAGATTCGAAGCCCGAAAAACACAAAAAACGGGTTGTTCTTCGCTCAGGTCTACGGCTACGCCTACGACGATGGCACCGGCCTAATGCGATGCAGTTCCGCTACCCACTACACCGCAGCTCGGCACGACGCGACTTTGAGTCGTCTTAGATAGTTCTACGCTTTATGTTCTGCAAGGCCGGCAGAGGCATAATTGTAGCCTTTTCTGAGCCGAAAGATGCCACGCCTTCAAGCCGAGACCTCGTAGCTTCGATGTTGGGATCCCCTGGCCGGCCTCTACCTTCCAAAAGATAAGGCTAAGAGAATCTTAGACACACCAAGAAGCAGGGAGACTCGCGGACTTGGGTGAGACCGACTACATAGCGGTATAGACTTAGATATTCGACTGTTGGCTGGGCGGCAATTTGCCATTTCTAGCTCAATACAACCTGGTGCGGGTCCTAGATCACTTTGTCGAAGCATGGGTCCGAAGCACTGTAGTGAGACACTTGATAAGAGCCGACGTAGTCACGTAGTCCTTCCGACGCTGAACTCCGTAAGCATGTCGACGAGTCCTTGAAGGGTAGCCTTAATAATTAGAGGGTCGGCCAGGTCACCTTCTTTTGTCCCGCCACGCTGCCGGCTTGACCTGCTGCGACATGACTTTGCAAGCGCCCGTGCGACGAGCTCGGAAAATGAGAACGCAACAAGCTGTTGTTGCTGTGGTCGTCGTCGTCGTCGTCGTTGCAGTTGCAGTTGCAGTTGCAGTTGCAGTTTCAGTTGCAGGAAGGAGGGCAGGAAGGAAGGAAGGAAGGAAGGAAGGAAGGAAGGAAGGAAGGAAGGAAGGAAGGAAGGAAGTCAGGAAGGAAGGAAGGAAGGAAGGAAGTCTCTTGGTTACACCAGTAGCGCTCACGGTCCTTTTGCTGCAGAGGTTGCTTCAGCAGCGCAGTGCTGAGCGAAGCGCAATCGGAGGAAAGAAGCCGGGCACGCCTAGAATCAAGAACACCGCACCATCAAGAATAGCTACGTCCGTGTCCCCGCTTGTTTAGGCTGTGCCAGCTCGCTTAAGCAGCTACTATCCTGCCAGCAATAGCAGAACCTGTATGGACTCTTTCAGGGCCCACGATACAGCTGCTGTCGTTGTCGTTGTCGTTTGTTGTCGTTGTCGTTGTTGTTGCTGGTGTTGCTGTTGCTCTTGCTGTTGCTGCTGCCGCTGCTGCTGCCGCTGCCGCTGCCGCTGCCGCTGCCGCTGCCGCTGCCGCTGCCGCTGCCGCTGCCGTCGTTGTTGTTGGCGTTGTTGTTGTTGTTGTTGTTGTGGTTGTTGTTGCTGGTGTTGCTGCTGCTGCTGCTGCTGCTGCTGGTGTTGTTGTTGGTGGTGGTGTTGGTGTTGGTGTTGGTGTAAGTTTGTGTTGGTGTTGGTGTTGGTGTTGTTGTTGTTGTTGGTGGTGGTGGTGGTGTTGGGAAGTAAAGACTACGATCAATTATCACCCTTTGTGCCTAGCATCGCATTCCGCAATCCGCTACTGTGACTGTGAGATGGAAGCTTAGGACTTACTGCAGGTTGCTCAAAAGGTAGGATTTCGCTATCGAGCTCTGATCCTGTGGATGCTCTTGCCTTGGAACAAAGCCCAGGAAATTTGACTGTTTGGGCTGGCTGTTTGTTTACAGCTTCTGAAGGGGGCCGCAGCATGATGATTCACGCTGCTTTGCTTCTCAAAGACTGTCCGAACCGCGACAGGCATGACTAGGGGCAAGAGGGTAATAGTCATCACCTCCCAGCTGGGTGTTGGAGGCTGCAAGACACCCGCAGCCCACACAGACACGCACGCAGACATGCTTCAGAGTCTCCTTCTAGCCTAGAAGAATCAGATCTAATTACCTTGCAGGCACAGCTTTGCTAGGGAGATGCGTGCTGGAGCGGTGCCCATGGCTGGAAGGGATCCTCCAGACGATGTGTCTACTTTTGAGATCGAGTGCAAGAGCCTCGTCTGAAGTCTGGCTGGGGTTGCCTTTGGTGCCTTCAGGTTTGGTGCTGGACTTCCATTTAGGTCCAGTGTGGGGCCACTTGCATCATGTATGGGCCCGTCTGCACGTCTGCGTAGGTGTGCATGTATACACCTATGTACGTATGTGCGTATGCATAGGTATATGTAGGTAGATACTGCGGTATACGTGTATGTATATACGTCTGTACGTACGTAAGTATGTATGTATGCAGGTATGTAGGTATGTATGTATGTTATGTATATGTGTGATGTATGTGTATAATATGCGTGTGTGTGTGTGTATGTGTGTATGTACGTATGCATGTATTTACAAACGTACTTATGTACGTAAGTATATTTATGTAATGTACACGTACACAGTCATGAAGTCGTTGGGGGGAGGGTGGGCGGTGGGTGGGTTCCTTAATCCATGATTAATCATCTTCATACATGATTAGTGCGGGATTAGTTGAGTTTAAGCATAGGATTGTTTC